CCACGTTCCTGCGATCAAACGCGCCTTCTGGGTCCACGTATCTCGCCGAATACACCTAGGCGTATGTTTATTAACGGGGCGCATTGTTTTGGGGGTTGCTCTAGCAAATTTGAATTATTCTCGAAGAAGTGACTCGCTGAAAGTCTCGATCAAAACGGTGAACTTGATCATTGAAGGAATTCTACGTGTGCCGAATGTGGAAGGTAGTCATTCGTATTTGGGAAGTAAGACCCTAGAGTTGAAAGTATTGGAGAGGAATACTAAACGAGGGGTTTCCTATTAGTTTTTATGAGGGGATAGAGCGTTGAAAAGATTAACAAAGTATTTGAGTTCTTGTCTTGCAACTGAACACGATGGCTTGAAATCTTCTGTCTGGTCAAGTATTTTTTAACATTGTTAATAGCTATTCGATTTCTTGTAAAATGTTGGATACATGTATAGACGTATTCGTTAGATAATTGCAAGTAGCAACTGATTTCAGAAACTACGGTAATCGTAATCGTTCCGAAAGGAACTTCGGTAGACATCGAGGTCCCGAGAACACCTGCGCGAAGAAGCCGCCGCCGATAGCGCCAAATTTCTTCATCCGTCGACCCTGGTCTGTGGTACGGTATCTGGCAAGCGGCCGGCATTGCGTTTCAGATCGAAACGACTACGTTTGCCTTCTCCTTCTTGTCTCGCAGCAGCGGCGTGTCTCTCGTTTCGCGGCGTTGCCGTGTCCGCGCCGGTCGTTTACGCGTTGCCGTCCCGGCAACGTCGCATCTTTTGCCCTCTCACACGGCAAACCGACTGAGTTGGCAGCTTGGTAAACGGACCACTCCGTATACTTGCCTCGATCATCGTTCTGCGAACTCGCACATTAGTTGGTCGCTCGTTCCTCATCCAGAGAGACCTGACGCACAGTTTTTCGTTTCCCAGTGTTGGCGGAAAATTCGTTTTCCCTCATTTTTCCCCTAGATCTAGTAACACGTTAATATCGTCATCGGTAATATACGATCTCACTGGTTCGGTGCTACGTATGCGAAAGGGGATTCGTGTGTGGAGGACGACGGAATTAACAAAGTGATTCGTCGGTTAAAATATCTTCAATTAT